GCTCACTTAATTTCTTTTGTAATCATACAAAAAAACTCGAGAACACGCTTTTTTTTTCCTTTTATTGACACTTCCTGAAATAAAAAGGATGTCCGAGTAACGTACGGTAGATCCAACTCCCTTGAGGACCCCGACTATTGTTGTAGTCAAAGCTGAGTTGACAATCGTGCACAAAAACATCGTGTAGTTCAGTACTATACCCATCACCAATGACAGAATAAGAAGAAGCAAAAATGGTAACAATGTGCTCTGTCACAAAAAAAAAAAAAGAATAAAAATAAAAAAGGATATAATTTTATATACATATATATAAATTATTACCCAATCAAGAAAGAACGAAAAATAAAAAATAAAAAAAGCCGAGAATTAAACCTTTGCGAACAAAATCGACATAGAATTCGGAAACTCGCCGGTGACTATAATGAGTATGAAAAGAAAGGGTAGTGATAAAATGCTGTTGTAAAACATGATCTCGATTGACGAAAGCCCATCCTCAGCTCCCGATTTCTCGACCAATACAAGGTACATGGTCTGCAAAATGAAAATTTGACATAAGCATGAGCTAAAAAAGCTCCTTATTTTTTTTTTCAAAAAATAAAAATGCTGGAAACGGTACTATTATGATATGCATAAAATCTCAAAACAACAAAGCAAATGATATATATGCATAAAATCTCAAAACAACAAAGCAAATTAATATCATCATATCATGGATAATTTCGTTAAATATAAGTGGGAGAAAAGAGTCACCTGGAAAAAGACAGAAGTAAAGGCCATGCCGTAGCCAAAAAGATCAAAGGAAAAATCTCCCAGTGCGGCTATAAGAACTCCAGCAGCCGTAAGAAGCACAGATAGAGTAACCTGAAAATCGACATTAAAATCCCCTATTTATATATATTTATGCAAAATAATTGGATTTGAAGACTTCATTTATTCCAACACACAACATAAAAGGAAAAAAAGAAAGAAAGAAAGGACGAAGTTCCTTTCCAGATAACCAAATTCATCCAAGATCTAATGTATAAAATATTTTGTTCCTTATAATTCATGCATCATAAAAAATTTCAATTATTCTCAGTTTCTCCACATATATACTAAGAAAAAAAATGCATAATCGAACATAAAAACAAAATATTAAACCTGAGTTGTGGGCTTCCCCTTCCCATAAAAGAATCCGGCTACAAGCACAGCAAGTGGCGTAAGCCTCTTGATGGCTATGTACATTGGAATATTGACTCCTTTCAGGCTTGCTAAAGCAAAAGCCACATTAGCATTATAGAATAATGAGACTAACAAGAGCCTCTTTGCAGTCTCCACATTAAATCCCCTAGCTTTCGTGTATCCCATTGTTCTACCAAATCGTATAAGCACTGTCGTCATCAATTGCTGATAAAATCCCGATTAATGCAAACATTAAATTTAGTCAATTGTGGAAGAAAACTCCAAAATTAACTTTTCTTTTTTTCTTTATGCAAAAGCTTTCGAGAAAGAAGAAAAAAGGTATAATTTTGGCATACCTGAAGAGTAAGAAGAGTCATAGAGTAGGCATACTGCATAAGCACAGCTTTGTTGATAAAGACCATACCCATTGAGGCAACTCCATAAGACACGGCCGCAAACAAACTGCGTTTTTTGCATTCCACAAGCAAATAAACACGAACAAAGAGGATTTTATTCCATTTAAACAGAAATTATTTGAAGGCCATATGTAACATCAACTTTTCTTTAATAGAAATAAAAATCTCAAATGGGTGTTTCTGATAGAGTAAGGTGGCTTTTTTCATGGATGCTAAATTTTCTAACCCATTCGATTGTTTCACACCCGAACTAATCATTTTCGAGACTTCACTGTTGCATAACCATAGACAATACACTTTATGAAAAAGTTAATACATGGAATTACATCTGTAGACTATTTATGAGAAGCTCAGAAGAGACAATATTTCAATATGCAATAAAAAGATTAAAAACATTCAGCAAAGAAAATGAGCAGGAAACAGACACAATTGCTTGTTCAGAATCCTTATCCTTACTGATAAAAATTAAATGCTGGTTCAGACAAGATCACCAGTGAACGCTGAAACAATGGATAAGGGGAAAAACAAACCTTAAATAGGGAGTTTGATCCATGCTGTAGTCCATCTGAGCAAACCCCACACAGGCAAAATCAAATCTTTATACTTTTTAATGACAACTAGAACTCAAAATCCTCAAAATCCCCAAACCCAGACAGTGGATTGAGTCCCAGTTACTTCATCCCCATTAGATCCAAAACCACATTCTTGTTCAGGATTAAAAACCTCCCAAAAGCTGTAAAATCTTTGGATAAACAAAAAGCAGTCATTTTTTTTTTTTTTTTTAGCAAAGCTAAGAAAATCGACATAGAAACTCAAAAATGGGGCAAATGGGCATCTACAAGAACACACTATTCACCTGAAAACGAGCCAAATTTAAGACGAATCTTGAAAATAAAACAGGTTCTGATAAAGGGTTCTCCTTTCTTTTTCTCGGATCAAGATTCCGGCAAGGATGGATTGGGGGGATCTTGTTAGGCGTATAGTGTAGGTATGCCCGTGGCCGTGGAAGAGAGGGAAGTGTCGAGATTTGAGAATAGCAACAAAGGTAAAAAATAAAATAAAATATAAATAAATTGAAATTGAAAATAAAAATTAAATTTCATGCGAGTGCGCAGTAAAATATGTGAAAGGTTGGAGAAAAACGCCATCGCAATGAGAGGCGCGCTTGCCGGGGCTCGCCAGTTTTCACCGTAAAGAGTAGAGGTAAAGTAAAGGAGACAACTTTTTCTTCCTTTATTTTTTTATTTTTTAAATAAACGTAATGAATAAAAAAATATTCTGAAAATAAATAATTTTCAATAGGTAAATAAAAAGTCTTAAAGACTAGGATTTAATGATTTATTCATTCTCAGTGGAAGAACCAAATATATTTTAGATTATGAATTTATTTATATGAGATAAAATGTAACGATTAAAAGTGATTATTTGGGAGCATTTATGAAAATTGGCTTATTAAGCGAATATATGCAAATAGACTTTTTCTAAATATTACATTCATTTATTTTATAGAACGAGTTGTTTAGAGAAACAACTTATTCATATGTCTATTGTCAATTTACCACAAAACATAACTAAGTAAACTTTGCACTCAGAAGTCTAATTGACAAGTGTTTTTACACAATTTATAAAACTGATATCATAGAAAATAAATAATGTGTTTGATTGGATAAATAATGAATCTATTATGTAAATAGATATTAACTAATTATATTTTTTTTATTATTTAATTATATTAATAGGTATTTAGCAAGCCCAACTTAATTGGACCCT